ATGGTACACCCGTTATTTATACCTGTTAAGGATGTTTTGGAAGTTTTTCTTTCTTTCTGACGGGTGTTTACAGTGTCTGATGATTATGCTTGGACCGTATAGATCGGAGAAAATGATCTCAAGTTATTTGGATCAAAACTCGGAATATTATTCTCGAGCAATTCGGATCAAACATTTGTGACCCAATCCAGTCTCTGGAACTCCCAAGTATTTAGCTTTGCCGCATCTGCCGGATATCATGGACCTAAGTTGGATTTTTTAAAAACCATTCAAGATTAGCAGGTTGAATTTTGCCAGCGTTCAAAACATTTCATCGCCGATGGTATGTACAGGTGTAAGCCAACAGAATTAGATACTTCTTAGTGTTTCTTACACAGACAGACCGATAAGAATCAGGGTCGCCAAATCTCCTGATTTGAGCAGGAGACTCCTGATGTTTATACGCTTCTCTTGATGAAAATTCTACTGATTTTCAATTCTATTCCTGTTCGAATGTACAGAATTTTATAATTATCTCTTAAGCAACCAAGAACTGTTAAAACAAATTCGCTCATCAGAAAAATACAGTCATGTTGCAAAAATACCATGGATGGTGCAGCAAACAACTTGTTCGTGTCATTTTCTTTAAAAATATTTGTTTTTTTTATTTTGTTTCTATTGTTGAGTGAATGACTATAAAAAAACCGGTATAATATACTACATGTGATTATATTTCTCTTTTTCTTTGTTTCGCTCGTAAGACAGATCTTCTCATTACTCGCTTGGTAGAAAAAAGTCGCGGGCGTTTGTGAAAATGAAAATTTTGCTGCTCGAACTAAAAATTGCATGATACCCTCCTGTTTTTCTCCTGATTTCCTTCCTGATATTTTAGAAAAAATCTCCTATTTTCTAAAAACTGGATTTCGCCACTCTGATAAGAATATTCATGCGCCACGTCGTCATAGTCATTTTCAGAACTTATTACGTACTGCACATTGTGTACAGCAGAAGACTTATTTAACTTAATTTGAGCACAAGAGCCTTTGAAATATATGCTGGAGGTAGTTTCATCACTAGATGTAAAAAGTGTAACGGAACTCAATGCGTTTCACTCAATTTCGAACATCAAATTTGGAAAGCTATTTGAAATATTCTGATCGATACAGTCAATATCATAAATATCTCTCATGTCGATACAAAATTTTAGTATTTATGGACAAGTAAGTTTCTGACCATATTTTTATTGCTTATCTGTGTTAACTACATACTTTTCAATATTTAAAAGACACAGACACGTACTATTCAAAAATGACTATGACGAACTGGCGCATAGATATTTTTATCAGTCCGCCTCTGTTAAAAACACTGCGTAATACCTCACTATGTTTCAGTTACTTTTCTTTACTGTTTACGCATCGAACAATCTACTACTCAAACCCTACAGAATTTAGAAAGGTTTCTAATTGCGTAATCTTTAGATCTATATTGTTTTAATTCAAACTAAACAGTCAGTTTCATATCAGGCTTTTAACAAAATTAACGTTTTGCTTTTATATTCGTGTTGATAACCGTAGATTTAAAAAGTTACATTTGGTCTCATTTTGAAATTATTATCAAACAATACTTTTTCCCCTGTAATGAGAAGTGTACTCCGATATTTTGTTGAAAAATAAGTTCAAAATTCGGAATGTAAGGCCTTGAAAAAAGAAAACTTCAAATTGACAGAATCGTTTCAATTTGAACATGAACTGTAATCTATACAAGATTCAAAGAGACCGATGCTGTTTTTAGTTTGTTTTGTGTTTCATAATTAAAACATAAATTATCATTGGATAGTATACCATGAAAGTTTGCTCATTTTGTGAAAAAATATCCACACACTATTATCATACAATTCGATCTCATAAGTCTGACGCTTTCATTAAATTATCGGATCTGATGTCCGGACTAACTCAATGTTGACACAAAGAGCATTGTACTAAACTGTTAACATTCGATTAATCAACTGACTGTCATTGCAATATAACGTAAATCCACAGTTGAACGATGATGACAACACATGACCGATGCTCTTGGTTTCGTTTAAAGAACCGGTAAAACTGCCCCTTAATTGAAATATGAACTCATTATGATGAACAGTCACATCGATCTCACCAAATAAATCATAAACATCAAATAAAACGAAATCATTAATATGATCAAAATAGAGTATAGTGATACTGAATTTAAATATAAATTGAGTTTAAACATACTGCTCTTTTTTCGTTGGCAACTTCACTAGCTGGAGCTTAGGACAACCGGCGAATTGTAGATCATACTTATAACCACTGACAAGTTTTTTCAGCGATGATAATGATATAGCAATTAAAAATCAAAAGATAAAACGTCATTGATATTCTTCAGAACCATGTGGATCGGCGAAATTGAGCTATAACTTGATGAACTATTATTGAAGAATGCGTAACTTGTCGCAAAAGCACGAACTAAAGCTATCATTCAAAAATCGAACAATCAACGTTACGGCAGGTATGTATCTTCGATAACACATTTTTAGATTTAGTTTGTATAGTGATATGTTTTCTGACTATAATGTTCTAACCTCAATATTGTGATTAGATACCGTCCGTATACTCATGGATTAACAGAAAAATTAGTTTTATTATCGAAAAATTTTTCTGTTAATCCAATAGTTGTTTACTGATCATCTGTCGCAAATATATAAAATCGTCACCAAGAAAGATTGGAACACACACCTTACATGTAGAATACATATTGAGAAAATGATTTATAGTCGAGATAAGATACATTTAATCGTCAGCGTGATTTGAAAGCGTGTTTAATTGCGCATCTTAATTCTGTTAAATTTACTAGAGTAGATGTTTCTGTGCTTGGTATAACACAACAAATAGTTTAGATTATGTTAGACTGATAATTGCATCTAATTTCGATTATAAGGGATTCAACAATCAATCGTTTACGAATTATATCTTAAACTTGATCATCCTTAGTCTCGCCTTATGCAAAAGAAAACCGGAAAAGTTGATTTCCTTCTAACAAAAGAAAAGACATACCTGCATTATTCAGATTTGACGTCTGACTAACACTAACTACAGATATACTTGGAATACTGAACATTAATTCTATTACAATTATCTCTATTATCGAATGTAAACGTGTATGTAACTCTTATCATCTCTCTAAATGAAATAAACAGCGTCGGTATAAGAAGTTCAATCGTGATTAATCGTTAACAAATTGTCAACTCCATTTGTTCTCCATTTTGTCGATTATAGATCGAAAAACTAAATAAACTGAGAAATAATCTCGCATTGTATTCGTCTATTTAGAATCACAGCAGCAGATAAATCATGAACAGGATGATAGATTTTCAAGTAATAATTGAAAACAAATCTATCACGTAAATGTGATAGAAATTAACGAGAAAAACACAGAAAACAATTTATTTATAAAAAAAAAGAAAAAGTTGATATACCCGCTTTCGGTATAATCGAGAGTACAATGACACAAGTGTAAAAGATAAACAATGTTTTATTTAAACTGACTCCTTTTAGTATAAATAGATAATTACAGGCTTCCGTTCTGGTTTTGTCCTAAAAATTCATTTTCAGAAACTGATAGAATAGAAGAACCGCAATAAAAAATCTAGAATTCTATCTATAGTAGAATCTAGAGTATTTTAAATATTAATTATTTGATCAAAAGAACAAAACCTTGCTGAATTGAAAGTTTGGAGAAATTCTCTAGTTAAAAATTTGAATACATAATTGTCTTGTCATACGTTAGAAAATTTATTTACGTATGATTAGTATTTTATCACAAGCAACACTTTGTTTCTTAACCTGCATAAATAAGATTTACTGCCACGACTTTTGTTTCGATATACTATCAAGAAAACACCTTTAAAAGAACATAGACAGAAACGAGACACACTACGTATATTACTCATAACGTTTTGTCTCTTGTTCACGAGCACGTGTTAGTGAGTAAAAGAACTTACATTTTAACAATCGGATATAGAGAAGAATTTCTGTTTTGTATAGTTGTGTTGTTTCTTTTCTCTTAACTCACGTTTTGTGTACGGTTATCGTCGTCAGATCTTATCATTGCCGATTTAAAAATAAGATATATTCACAATAATTCGTTTAGATTTTGAACTCAGTCATATTGTAAGTCTCATTTCTTTTTAAAAACGCTGAAATGGATTGCTCAAAAAGGCATGATTTTATAGAACAAAGGATATGCTGTAGGTGGAAGGAGTTACTTAGAGTAGAGAGATTTTATTAGCGAGTACGTAGTAATCTTTCTGGTTGGCCGTTTATCTTCGATTTTTATGAAAATATAAGTGAATGTTCTGACTTGTCGCATATATTCGATGAAGAAATAACGTAAAGCAGGGAACAAAAAAAAACCAACTCACTCTGATTATTTCTTATACCCTTTGAGAACTCAGTCTTCCCTTATATCTAAATTTGTTTTTTCAGTTAAATCTTAGTAGTTTATTTGAATGTGAAATTCTAGTTGTTTGCTGCAAATACATGCAAAGTCTAAATGAACTTTGTTGATAGATAGTTGATAGACGCCGTGAACTATACAGTAATAAATATCTTGCCTTCTTCGGCGCATAGATATGGAGACTGGAACTGTTTCTTTTGAATATTTCAAACGGTAATCTTAAAATTTAATGATTATTTGTCAATATAACGAAAAATCTAAACTGTTGATAATAAACGACATTTCATCAATAAAAACCATTTCTTCATTGGTTCATTTACATTTTTATTCAAATTTCAACCAATCAAAAATTAATTGAACATTGTACGTTCTGTTCAACAAAAAGAAAGGAGTTGAGTATATTTTGATATTCTTATTGAATATAGTATCCTCTTCTTTTCTTGCGTCATTCATTTCTATAAGAATATTTTCCAATCGATGTCTTGAAATTTTTTGTTGAAGAGAAACGAAGCAATCTACTAATACAATAGATAATCAGGAGTTCTTGTATGTTTAATAGTTACATTTGTGTAAGAGAGAAGAAGATAATGAATGGTATCAAAACCGAAGAACAATGCTATGATAGTAGAAATAATTCATTGCCATTATCTGCATCATCCATGGAATTAAATGAAACAACAACAACTGAAGAGGATGACGAAGATGAAATTGATGAGACAACAAATGAGTTATTAAAGGTAAGACGTTTTAATATTTGTAAGTTTTTGCAAAAGTATATCCGTAACCGAGACATTTCTAACTGTGATTTTAACATTAGATCAAGACAAAATTTAGGATTGGAGGAGAGTACTGTGAACTGTCGAAAAAACTGTTAGATAAAGTTTAGATCCTATACTTTATTTTTTACAAAATAAATCGACTATAATACTGTAATTGTTTTATTATTGCTTTCACTCAAAATACAGAATATATAAAATTAATTATGTCACATCATTTATAGATAGATAAGTAAAACGAAACAAACAGCTACTGATATTTAATATATACTTGTGGAACAATTTTAATTAGTTGCGGTTGTTTTGATTTAATGAATGCCAATTGATGTAGAGAAAGGATCGATTTCCAGTTATCTGAAATAACTGTGGGAAGTTTAGTTTTAATGGAAATACAACATTCTCAGGTGTTAACGGTGGTAGTAGAATTGAATCTTATGTGGTATCTTGGGTCCTCTTTCTCTTACATATACTGACTAATAAATAAATTCCACTTTGTTAAAGGTTACTTGTTCTAGAAGAGAATACGTTTGTCTGTTAATCTTTTTTAGTTGGTATAGGTATTGAAATACTGGTTTTTTGATAAACTTCATACTCTATGTTCTGTGGTACCAAATATAATTCTTAAACTATTAAATTATCTTACAGAACAGATCTGTTAGATTTTAAGACAAGTTCATTATATCTCACGGTTATTTTAATTGATTTCGTTTATTTTTTTCAGAAAACACATGATAGTGGATTTGTTGATGCGAGCGATGAGAAAGAAGTTACAAAAGGTAAATGAACTGTTATTGGAACTGTTTTTATTTTTTAGATTTCAAACAGTCGCACCGCGAATATACACACTTACAATTAAAATAGATACATAAGGTCCCCGTTCATTTTATATTTTTGTAATAATATGAGAAATGACGAAATCATGTCACATCTTGTTTTTGTATGTATGTATAGACGATCTAATATCATTCATAGCTTCAAGACATTTTACTACATGCTGAGCGTCCTTACTAGATAATTAAAATGTATGTTTGTACACATAATTGCTCAAGTAATTGAGTGTGTTATTCATCAATATGGTACATTCCATGTATCCATACAAAAAATACAATAAACTCTGTCTTTGTTTAGAATTTGATCGTTTTTTTGTTTTTAGTAATACGTTCATATTCAAATTATACTAGTACACCATTAAGACCAGTGACAAACAATATACGAGAACATATTGGTGAATCATCTTCAATTATTGAACGTCATTTGTCTAGTGATGATACAAAATTTGATGATGGAAAAAATTGTCGAAATACAAGGTGTGCATCTCAAAAATTTTTAAATATAATTGAATTTTGATTTTTGTTCTTTTTATATAGATTTCTTGGTAGTAAAGCAGTAGCAATTTTAGATAAATGGTTCCATTCAAATCGAGATTATCCATATCCAGATGATGAAAAAACAGAACAATTAGCATTTGAAGCTGGTACGTAAATAGATATGATTCAGTACATGGATTGATAACTAGTAAGAACTATAAAATTTACATTGATCGGACTGAGACTATCGTTTGCATACTGATTTATAGACTGGTAAGATTGAACGTATTGATTTTTCATTATATATTTAATATTTTTGCCGAAATTTGAGAAAAAAAATTGTATCTATCTGATCTAACGTTGAAGCTTCGATGAAAAGTGTTTAGAATTTACATGTGCATACGTTCTTTAGGCATCACATCGAAACAAGTCAAAAAATGGTTTGCAAATAAACGAGTTCGTTCACAGTCATGTTATAAACCATTATATCGATCTCGTAAGGTATGTTAATATTTGATATCATGAAATATATTTATATAAAAACTCATTTTTATTTTAGTCACGAATAAATTCATATCAACCTACTTCTGCCCATATTCGTCCACCTATTTTACCTCCGCCAACAAATTACAATTACATCATTAATCATAACAATATTGCACCTCAATCTCAACAATCAGCTTCGACATTCCAAAATATAGTTGCATCATCTCATCCATCACAAATGCCTGCATGGCCGTTATCTTTTTCTCCACATCAGCAATATCCATTTCCTAATCCATTTTTTAATCCTATGTTAATGAATCCATTTACAATGATGATAATGATGAATCCGTTATATGCTCAACAACTATTATCAACAATGGCTTCTAATGGATCTATTCTGTCTGCTCCAACGTCACAATCTCCAGTACAGACAACTCAAGCAAAACAGCCCCAGTCTAGTACACCTAATACATCATCAACAACAACATCTGGTAAAAGCAGGCGATTTTGGATGTGACAAAAAGAACACGAGACAAAATATATTTCATTTTTTGACTCTTTGCCGTCTGTGCGTCTTTACCACAACTTTACATTTTTTTCTATCTTTGTTTTGCTTCTTATTGCATCGATTTTGTATGAGTGTGTTTGTGTGTGTATTTTTGTAATTTTTTTTACTTTTTCAGTATAAAACGTTGAACCTGAATTTAGTTTATTAATAGGGGAAAAGTATATCAATGGTACACATGAGCATTCGGTTTTTTGAGATGAATCGCTCACTTGGAACTTGGATGTTTAAAAGCATCTTTTAACGGCTTTGTCATATCTTGATAATTACTGGAGTGCGTGAAAAACTTATTTTAGACATCGCATATAGCTAGCGTTTTTCAGAAAAAAGATAATTGTTTCTTTTTAAAAAGTTTTTTACCAGACACAGAATAGTCTTAGTTGAAATTTTGGAACTTCCAGTTATAGACATCATAGATTCTGATTTCGTTCTAAATATCGATCGTCCGATTGTTTACTTTGCTCAAATATATTTAGAAATCTTGGCCTTTCAACTTGAGACAATGCTGGTTTCGGCGACGATAAGAACGTCGTTTTCTCATGATGTAAAGATGCGCTCATATTCGATTTATTTGACAGTATTTCACGTTGTTTAATAGTCACTCAAGAATGTTACTGTGTTTTGTTTGATCATACAAGTATACACATATTCATTGCGTTCCATAATGTGCAATAAATTATGACAAAGTCACATATCCAATTAACAATACTTACCTGGTGTTTACAAATAACCGATCGATATCGGATAAAAAAAGACCGCTCACCACAGGGAAGTGCTATTATTAAACATTTTATTTGACGTAGGTGAAATGAGGGAAGAGATAAACGTCAATTATCGATAGAACAGCCTTTTTTTCATACCTTTTTTTCTTGTCTTCATTCTTTCTCTTTATCCATAAAACGTTATCTGATTGACGATTCGCTGTGGTGGTATATTGAGATAAACTCATTTTCCAATTTTAAGTGATTTTATAGTTTAATAAAAAAATATAAGAAAAATAAAGAAATTGTTTGAATATTTACAATTTATGTATCCAACGTTGGAACCCACTCACAATGCTAAATTAGCATATCAATGGAATTAACTATTTTCTTTGTATACCAGTGTCCTTCATAATCTGCTGATATAAAATATGGAATATTTACAGAATAGAAGCATATTATCGAAAAACACTCTTATAATGACATTCCAAAGGAGTTTTAAGCTGTAAGAAAGTAACACTAAAACAAATTAACTCTAAAACTGTCTTCAATAAGTAAGTATGCATCGGTCATAACCGAGTATCACCGTCAAAAACTTTTTCGAGAAATAACGAGTAAAAATAGACAGTACTCTGACTAGGTGTACACAAAAATAGGAAAAAATCTTGTTTTTCCATAGGAAATGCAAAAAAATGACCAAATTTTGATAGAGAAAAGCGATACAGTAACTAGCATTTTCTTGCAGTCAAGAGAGAATTTTTCTACTATCATCACTGAATCAAAAGCGTACATAATGGAATCTCACATAAAAAAGAATTTTACGGCAATTAAGCGAAAAAACAAAAATAGCATTTTTCTCTTAGTAAAAGTAACTAACTTTAGCTGTCAATGTTGGAAGAGAAAAAGTACATGGTTAAGTTTCCAACTCCTTCTCTCGCAATTTATAATTTGAACAATACTTTCAGTCGATGACTGCAGAACAATGATTCCCGTTTTTCTAAAAGTTGCACGTTTATGAGCTAATTAGTAGCTGTCAAAGTTTGATCTAACTTCTAGGTTTCGTATTTGAGACTTCCAATTTCCTAATTTGAAGTCAATTGTTCCTAAATATCAATTTTTGACGGTTAACCGTTACCTTGAATGACTTGTTATAATTTCTAGTGGATATCTAAGGATAAATGTTGATACAAAAAGTACTTAAAATTCCGATGGACAGTCACTTATTCTTAAACTTCTCAGCATTTTTTGAAAAACTCTCATACACCACTGACTTACAACTTCCACTATATAGATTGAAGAAATTAAACTCAACTTGCAATCAAAAGTACATAGATTTTTTACCGTTTTACTGATACAGAAAGTATTTACTAAAAGTCTAACTTACCATGTAGTGCATCAAGGATTTCTGTCGCACTAGAGCGGTAAAAAATCTACGTTATTTGCTAAATAGATGATCTCATAACGATTAATTCTAATAAGAAGTTTGATCAAAATCAACTGTCAGACCATAGTTAACACTGAATTGCAAGAACTCAAGTGACCGAAGGGTAACTGTTTTGTATTTGAAATTAAAACAAGTACAAGGAAAGGTTATTTAAAAATCATATGGTAAACGTATGAAGCTCGGCTATACTCTAAAAAAATAATCTGTCTTAAGATAAGACAGTAGAAGCCCGTTTCCGATTAGTTAGATACATTAGTTAGATAAGATAAATGATCCGTCTTATTTCCATTAGCAGTTTATTTTCAAGGATATCTCTGTTGTACAGAACAGAGAGAGTACCACAGGTAATGATCATATCAATGATTCTAATAATAAACCAAAAATAAAATGATAGGTTTTTTTTAAGAAGTTATCGTGCTCTATATGTTCACGATGTGACGAACGCAAAACAAAAGGGATGCATCCTTTTTACTTCAATGTTTTTTTCAGGCCCTTTCACACCTTTTCGCTGATGACTTAGCCATTGTTATTATGCGTAGATTTAGAAAGATTCGAAAAATTTATAATGCATTACGCATCAAGTTTCGTTCTATTTCAAAATCGTACATTTCTCATAGAAGAAAACTGTTTGTTGCATATGCATTACCCTGTTTCTTTAGGTTGCTTTCTACTTTCATTTATTTCAATGAAAAATGACGACAACAAATTGAACATGTCTACATTTTGGGTTTTCGTCTTGTGTATGCCCTATGGCATTGGGATGACCTCACAATAGCTGTATTATTTAACTGACATTAGAAAACTATCTGTTACAGTACTGGTTAAGATTGGCTAAACACATTCAAGAATCTCCCGAGGCACTGGCATACAGACAAACCCGGACCGTGTACCAGATTGTTACTCGGTCGAAGAGGGAATGGTACACAGAGCGTGTTTAGCAACAGCAAATTTTCCCAGAGACTTGCGGAGAGAGCACAAGACTCCAATGTCGATGTTGAAAATTTTATAAATATTCAGAGAGGGCAATATGCAGTATTTAAAAAATTTTCCTTTTTTGTGTTGTCTCCAGGGTTGCCAACCGCAGCGCTAGCATCAATGCGTTTTTCTGATTTTTTCAGAAAAACGCATTGATACTAGCGTTGCAGTTGGCAACCCTGGTTGTCTCATGTCAAAATATTCTGATATACCACCGTGAATACCTCTTGTTGCTAGTCTTTTTGTTTTATCGTTGAATTGCACATGTTAAGTTATATTCTTTTACAATAAGCGAATATCTTTTTTCTTTAAGAAATCCTTTCACATTTTTTTCTTTGTTGTTGTTATATATATATTACTTTTTTGAAGGAACAAAATTAATTTATTCAATATTAACAAAAACAAAACAAAAGAGATGAATGACTTCTTCGCCAATTACAGAAATAAGACAGAAAAACGGCCTGTAGAAACAAATATCTTACAATAAGACGGTTGAGAATAAATAAGACAAATACAATAGTAAGTCAATTTCAATCGAATAGTATAAGTCGGATCTTTTGTGGAATGCGTCAAGATAATGCTTAAAGATAATCCAAATTTAAGGAATTCCTCTCCTGAACATACCCTCAAACTTGGCTACTTTGTAGAGAGCACCTTCAATGGTATGCCTGTAGAATAAAACAAAATTTGGTCAAGTACTGACAGTGTTATTAATTAATTAAGTTTGAGTTCTAATTAAAATTTGAATTACTATTCACCCTTTTCGAAGTCATGCAGTTCGATCAAAATTAATCATAGAAACGTCATTCCTGCGTAGTATGAGAGCCAATGTAGCGACGCCTTGACTATCGAATGACGAACGTCGCAGTTCTCTAGCTATTATCAATCAAAAGTTATTTAAAAAATGGTTTTTGTGGACGCACAGTAATAAACCGCTTAGAAATCTAATATACCCAAAAATGGGTTAAAATAATTGCTAATTAGTAACTTATTGGGAAAGAAAGTACAGGGTTTTCAAGGTATTAGATTATAATTAATAAGTGTTAATTAATGGTAATTAGCGCCACTTTGGTGCCTAATACTTTTATTTGTGAGTTGCCAATTTTTTGGAGTTCGTGAAGGAACATATCATTCGACGGAGATTTTCAAGTATTATTTAAAAGTTTTTTTATGAAACTATAACTGCATATGGCCAAAATAACCTCGTGAGAAGAGTAAAAGTAAAGCTTTAAAGTGTAAAAAATCAAATTGCCTATATAAAAAAAGAGTTATCACAAAGTTTTGGTTCACCCCTGGCGCAATTTACGCAAAAAGTAATTAGAAGTCACGCCATTATGATAGTGCCACCTGTAAGTATTCCAAAATTAACTTAACATCTTCATTAACATCTTCAGGGGTTAACCAAAATTTTCTGATAACCCTTTTTTTGATATAGGCAATTTGATTTTTATACTTTAAAGCTTTACTTTTACCCTTCTCATGACGTCATTTTGGCCATATGATAGATCATTGGCTCGCATACTATGCAGGGATGACGTTTCTACGATTATTTTTGATCGAACTGCATGACTTCGAAAAGGGTGAATAGTAATTCAAATTTTAATTAGAACTCAAACTTAATTAATTAATAACACTGTCAGTACTTGACCAAATTTTGTTTTATTCTACAGACATACCATTGAAGGTGCTCTCTACAAAGTAGCCAAGTTTGAGGGTATGTTTAAGAGAGAGCCTTCCTAAAAAATGAAACTAGTTAAAACGTAACAGGGTATACACTGTAATTTGAAATTATTTTCTACTTTATAGAAAGTCGCCAAGGATTTTCCAACTTT